CCACCATTTTAGAGAGTATCACAATGCATACGCACGCTTTCCCCCTGAACGTAAACAACGCTGATTACGTCGAATACGTTCTTGCGTACTCTCCAAAATGGCAGAAGACGTAACTCGGTGGAAAAGAATTGTTGAATAAATTGTTGTTTTTGTTTTCTTAGTGCACAAAAAGTATTCTCGTAGCTTCGCAAAATTGAAGTTGAGCCACTGATGTCACATGGACTGTTTGACTTATGTCCTTAGTACGTTTCTGGACCTGGGAACATTACAGTTGCGTTGCTGTCTATGGGTCAGAGAGCTCTCCGAATTCATCCAAAATATCTTAATTTGTGTTCCGAAGATGAACGAAGATCTTACGGGTTTGGAACGCCATGAGGGTGAGTAATTAATACCAGAATTTTCATTTTTGGGTGAACTATCCCTTTAACTACATTTTCACTTTGTTTTTACATCTCGCATGAAATATTTAAAAACTATAATGGCTACAACTGGTGTTTGGTTGACAATATGATTCTTCTAAATTAAAAAAAAATCACCCTTTAAACATTTTCATTACAAATATATTAATATCAAGATCAAATATTGTGTAAAAAAAGCTTCTAGCAGGTTATCTAGATTTACTTAGAAATGACTTTCATCACAAAGAAGAAAAAGAGAGGGGGTCGTGATTACCTTTGTCGAGTAGCTGGAGCAGTCTGGGTTTAGAAGGCGAGGTTTATGAAGAGCATTTGTCCTTCTCTCCATCAGACAGGTTGGTCTATGGAAAGAGGCACAGCATAGCCAGCTTGGGCTGCTCTAATTACTGCATGATGTCATGCAACTTTTTATCAGCAAGTGCTGAAAATGTATCTGATATCACCTATTAGAAACAAACCTTCCCTTTGTTTCTCCATTCAGAGGATGGAATTAGTCAGTTGGATAGAGTTGTGGGAGTCGAAAGTGTTTGGGGGTTAGGTCATTGACTTCACAAGTGTGTTGTGATGTATTTTCTAAAGAATGAACAATCTGTCCTTATTGCATGCTTCCTGTTCGAGTGAAAAAGGATGTCCCAGCCTCTAAATCCCATACGAGTTCAGGACCACAACATGAATCATGTGCATTAAAGTACATCATGACTCACTTCATATAAAAGCAACAGAGATCTCTTTATAATACCATACATCAGACAGAAAAATTATATTTGAAGAAGCATTATAATTGCATCTTTTGCACTTGCTGTGTCATCGTTTCCTTTTTTACGAACACAAACAGTTATAGAATCATATATAGAATCTTCTTGTAAACCATTTCATTTAAACCTGCTCTAGAAAATGGTGATCCAAATCAGAGCTGGGCAACAAATATCAATGGTATACTGCCGATTTATCTAACAATATCGCAAGTTATCAGTTATAAATAATTGACTGCTTAGTCCAATTCAGTATGTTTTATTATTTATTTATTTTTGTTGAGGCTATTAGATGGTATTCGTATTTGGAATGATTTTGCTGGTGATAAAAAATTAAGAAACACTGTGAATATGTGCTTTTTGTTTGGCTGTTTAACTTTCTAAAGACTTTTGTGAGTAGAAGTATAATAAAATGGACTTAAGGGTTGGTGAGATTTTAAAAATATCTTTGAAAGAAGTCTCTTATGCTCAACAACAAGACTGCATTTAGTTAATTAAAAATGCAATAAAAATAGTAATATTGTGAAATATTATTACAGTTTAAAAGAGATGATTTCTGTTTTAATATATTTTAAAATGTAATGTATTTGCTGTGGTGCAAAGCTAAACTTTCAGCAGCAATTACTAAATTTTTCATTCTTATATGCTGATTTTATTGTACTATATGCTAGATTTTACTATTATTACTACAAATTTTACTACTAAATGCCCATCCAAATCAGAGCTGGACAACAACTGTTTATGATATAGTGCTGATTCATCCGCCAATATTAAATTTTCGTTATAAAACTAACCATCTTTTACAACATCCTCTGATTGCATAAATATTAAGAGGATTTTTTAGCCATAATGCCATACCCCAACTCTTTGCTTAAAGGCATTAAGAAAAATACATTTTAAAAAGTATTGCATCAATATATGTTAGTATGGGCAAGTCATAAACCAGCTCCGCTACAATTCATGCCATATTTATGTTAGTAATGAGAAGCTGGGAGCTCCTGTCACACTCTTCTGCATGTGGTTTGTGGTGTTCTCTTCCATCTGTCACTGACACTGTCTTACACCTGTAATATTTTTCACTTTACAGTGACGGCACTGAAGAGAAGGAAGCTGAGGCCAAAGAGGATTCAGGCGGTAAATGAAAACTATATCTGTTCTTTGTATTTTACTTCTGCGCTAGTGTTTATTCTGTGGTCTGTTGTTAGACCTCAACTGTTAGACTAATTTCAGCCCTTATTTTTGCGCTGCCACTCATTTAAAGTGTTCTTACTTGGCCGAGCATCTTCAGTGCGCCCCTGTCAAAACCACAAGACTATTTATCTACGTTCCTAGTTGTCTAACTGTCAGACCGGCTCCATGTGGGTCAACAGATGAGCTCAAGCAGAGCTCTGGGTCTGGCCTAGTTAACAGAGAGAGCATGGGAACTGGTTTGCTGAAGTGGACTATTTGCTGTGATGGTTTTTGTGTCTATGTATGGGCTGAACGTGTGTGTGTTTTGTCCGTGCAGGAGCGGTGCGAGTGGAGAGGGAACATGGGCCGGCAGAACGAGCTCTGCTGGTGGTCAGTACAGACGTCCAGGGTCGAGCTGTGGACCCCCAGTTGACGGCTGTGCTCCAGTGGATCGCTGCCTCTATCGCTGATCTGTCTTTAATGCAGCTGAGCCAGTTCTCAGCCCAGGAGCTGCAGCAGGTGAGAACACTTGGGGCCAGTTTTACTAAACGGGGCAAATTATCGTTAGAGCACAATTCCATACGCGATTTACTGACAATGCACACATTAAAGAACACAGACGCAACATCTCATTTCCATAATGACCAGCACAATCTACCAAGAGCAGTGCAAAGGACCACCTGCATTAAGACATGGGCGTTAAATAATGGTTTGAATACCAGTGAATTGATGAGCACAAATCGTAGTAAATTGTGTTGCCTGATTTATTTAAATACGCTCCTCCCATAAATATACCGATCGAAAGGAAAACTACAAATGCATATTCAATAAGGTGAGTCGCAAAAATAACTGTCCACACCTTTTCAGCGCTAATTTGCCACAGTGTGTCTTTAGTAAATCCTGACAGTAGTTTTTTAACGCCACATGAGGGCTTGCGCTGGTGCAAACTGATAGTAAATCTGGCTGTTTTTTGACTGCTAACCACTGACTGAACAGCAGCAGTGCTGAATGCTGATCACTTGAGAATGATCACCGATACCTGTCATCATCCAGTCACAGCCACCCTCACGCAGTATACGTTAAGTAAATCAGAAATCGTGAACATAACTGTTCGAGGAAGGCTGCGGAATCCTCTGACGGCTGGTCGCTCCCGCCTCACAGCAAGTGATGCTCACGCTAACGCCAATTCCATCTGTTTTGACTTCAGTAAATCAGTTTTGGCAAATACAAACAACGTGATTATTTTTCACGAGTCCAACATCCAGCCGCGCAAGAAAACATGCAATCTACATGAGACGTGATCAATAAGGGAAGCCGTCTTTCACTATTTTAATGCTGTAAGATAGAGAAAAAAACATTTTACATTTAAGTAACTAGCATATTCTTAATCTTAGACCTTGTTCTTGAAACAAAATGATCAATAAAAAAGTGTCAAGCACCAAAGCAGCCCATATTAAATCTAAGTTTTATAGGCCCATGTCCTGTGTTTTTCCTTTCTGAAGTTGGCAACCCTACTTCTACATTACTTTTCTCGCCTGGCCTGGCCTGTAGTACAGTAAGCATCATGTTTACACAGTGCATAGACCTTGTTCTTGAAACAAAATGATCAATAAAAAAGTGTCAAGCACCAAAGCAGCCCATATTAAATCTAAGTTTTATAGGCCCATGTCCTGTGTTTTTCCTTTCTGAAGTTGGCAACCCTACTTCTACATTACTTTTCTCGCCTGGCCTGGCCTGGCCTGTAGTACAGTAAGCATCATGTTTACACAGTGCGCACAGCGTCTCTGCACTTACTCACGATTTCTCTCAACATGGGGATGGGAGAGCTGTCATTCAATAAATGGGAAAACCATGTAACTGGTGTTACTTATTTGAAAAAGCAGCTCAGATATTTTCTTGTAAATTAAAAAGTAATGCATTACTTTACTAGTACTTAAAGTAATCTGATTATGTAACTTGCGTTACTTGTAATGCATTACCCCCAACACTGCTTAGTATTATCATAGTGATTAACTTATGAATTTAGCAAGTGCAGTATATTGCAACCCCAAAAGTATAACCAGTTATATAAGGTTTCCTATTTTTTTATTTTTTTGTTTTTTCAAGGCCTAGGAAATATATTTATTATTATTTACTATATATTTGCAATAGTAAAATTAATACTGTAAATATAATAATTTCTTTAAAAAAATACATTAAAATGTATTCAAATACAAAGTTATTTTAAATGGTAGTAATATTTCACAATATTACGGTTTTATTGTATTTTTATTTTTGTTTAAATAAATGCAGCCTTGGTGAGCATAAGAGAAACGTCTAACTTTTGAACGTGCATGTGTGAAAAAAATTAAAATATATATGTGTGTGTGTGTGTGTGTGTGTGTGTAAAATGATTACCCCCAACACTGCTTAGTATTATCATAGTTATTAACTTATGAAATTAGCAAGTGCCGTATATTGCAACCCCAAAAGTATAACCAGTTATATAAGGTTTCCTATTTTTTTATTTTTTTGTTTTTTCAAGGCCTAGGAAATATATTTATTATTATTTACTATATATTTGCAATAGTAAAATTAATACTGTAAATATAATAATTTCTTTAAAAAAATACATTAAAATGTATTCAAATACAAAGTTATTTTAAATGGTAGTAATATTTCACAATATTACGGTTTTATTGTATTTTTATTTTTGTTTAAATAAATGCAGCCTTGGTGAGCATAAGAGAAACGTCTAACTTTTGAACGTGCATGTGTGAAAAAAATTAAAATATATATGTGTGTGTGTGTGTGTGTGTGTGTGTAAAATGCCACACTCAGTGAACAGAACTCAGGTGAACATTTTTGAGTGCTGATGCAAATTAAAAATTTGTCTATTTGAACTTTTCAACTTTTTCACCTTGAAATTTGCAACGTTTAGTAATACATAATTGTACTGCCATTTCAGAGCAGATGCTTAAATATCTAGGTCTTTTCACAAGGTATTATGTTAATTACATCTTAGATCATGTTTTAGCTCTATAATCCAACTCTAGCAGTATCTACCAGGATGTTTGAGATCCAAAACTGTAGCTTAATTTTGTGTGTTTTTCTCTGGCTCCAGCTGCCGGCCGTAGCTCAGAGGCTGAGGGAGAGAGAGTTCAGGGTCGGTGACCTCCTGCAGGCTCTTCTGAGATACTTTGAAGAACGTCGCTCTGAGGAAGAGGTCGGGGACACTAGGAACGGCCACAAGAGCCTCTTCCAGTGGCTTCTGGAGCAAGCGTAAATCACCATCACACTGACACCTGTCAGCCATTAAACCATGAAGTTTCCTGTCACTTTACAGTGATCTGCAATGTATCTGCCAAACCTAGAGGCATAGCCAGTGGAATGTGTTTGTGTTGTGTATTGCTTGTGCACCCGTGGCCACCCAGGGGGCGCCATAGAAACAACTGAAGTAATCTAAGAGCCGTTCGTTCAAGTGTGTGTATTGCATGCCGTGACCGAGAGTACCTTTTGCTTGCTTTCACCTCTCTTTTTATCGTCACTTTGTTTTCTTTAAGATTAGACTGCATATCATGCTTTTGGCACGCCATCACTGATGCCTACCCGCGTTTTGCTTTCACACCCTGCCACAACACAAAAGACGGATGGGTTTTATGAGTTGGTTTCTTGTTAGGGATTCCCCACGGCTGCAGGAAAGCTTATGTCATCTCCATACCTCTCCTTTGCGGTGATGTTTGCACTCGTCGAAAGGACCAGCCATGCGATCCAGCAGCGCTCCAGGTCAATGGAAGGTATTCCATGATTCAGAACACATAAGAGAATCACTTGGTAATTATAACAAACAACCCTGTTTCAGCACATTTTTGGCAAAAATACTTGGATACCAGGCGTGACGGTTTAAAAATATAATTTCACTGGTAATTAGTTACTGTTGAAAGAATCCATCAACAAGTAGTAACTTTTACATTCCCCTCTTGTGACTTATACAGTTTTTTTTCAGTGTGATTAGCTATTCATAACAGTTGAAAATCAATCGGTATACCTGTAATATGCTTTTCTAGAGTGTAAAATTGAATTGAGTTGTTTACAACATATGCTGCAATCAGACTCCACATGATCCAACGCCCATAAAGAATAAAAGGTGTTTTAGTTCACTACAAAGTGAAGGGTCTTTGTTTGCCAGTTTACAGGAAAAACACAAACATACTATTAAACTTAGCTTAAAAAGCTGCTAAGCATGCAAACCCCTTTGCCAAACGAGGAAACCCACAGTAAGCTATTGAACGTTACCTACAAGGGACTTTTTTTCTAATTTCCTCCTGGTGTTGTCCACTCATTGGAAGTTACTCTGACACACTGGTAGTGCATTGCTAAATGAGGACACATCTGCAGTGAGTAAATCTGAACTAGTCACCGTCTCTACAGTCTCTTCCACTTAAACCTCTTATTCACCGCCTGATCTTTAGTGTGCACTACACTGAATATTGCACTTTACTGAGGAATGATCAGAAAGGCCTACTCCTATTATAGTTAAGCATGAACTAAAGATTGCCAACACCTAGTAGTTGTTTGGCATGTCTAATTTATCAAGCCCTAAGGGACCAGTGTCCTGTATTTGAAAGTATTTTCACACTGCATTTTTTTTTTGCTCACTCTCATGACGGTCTGAATCTGTATGTTGCTTTTTATTTTGTAACACTCCTGTCAGGCTCTAAAAAGACAAAAAAAAAAAAAAGTTAAAAAAGTTAAAGTGGTCTATACAACTTATGTGCAGTATTTGCAATATTAAAGCTTTCTTGCAGTAGTTTTTTGTATCGAAATTTAAAAAAACCTAGCCATCCCAGATTTAAAAAATTGTTCATAATGTTTACACACACACACACACACACATCATTTTTGAATTAATGAAATGTGCTTTGGCTGAGTGGATGGTAAAGAAAAACTAAATATATTATATGGCTTCAGAAATCTTATATATGGAAGCCGGTTTCCTCCACTGAATAACAAATAAAAGAGGTAATTGAGAGTTTTTATCTCAGAATTCTGACTCTTTTCTCAAAATTTTGAGTTTACATCTGGCAATTCTGACTTTTTTCTCAGAATTAAGATGTAAATGTGCAAGTGTGAGTTATAAAGTCATAATTGTGAGATATAAACTTGCAATTGTGAGAAATGAAGTCAGAATTGTAAGACAAACTCGAATTTGCGAGTTATAAACAAAGTCATAATTGCGAGATATTAACTCTGAATTGCGAGTTTCTCACAATTCTGATTTTTTTTTCAGAATTGTGAGATATAAACATGCGACTGCGAGTTATTACATTGAGGGGGGAAAAAGACTATATTCTCAGAATTGCAAGTTTATATTACAATTCTGACTTAACTCACAGCTGTGTGATATAAAGTCAGAATTGCGAGATATAAGCTTGCAAGTACAAGAACATTTTTAAAAAGTTTTTTGTATGAACTAATGTTATATAGTGTAGCGAAACATTAAGATTCTTCAAAAATAGAAGAATTACTGAAGAAAATTTCTTGATTGCGAACAGGTGTGGTAGTAATCAGGCCTGGGTGTGGCTAGAGAAATTGAACTCAGGTGTGATAAACCACAGTTTTAACAGGGAATTTTTGAATTTTGTTTTCCCTTAATAATAAAAACCTTCATTTAAAAACTGCATTTTGTGTTTACTTGTGTTATCTTTGACTAATATTTAAATTAGTTTGATGATCTGAAACGTTAAAGTGTGACAAACATGCAAAAAAAATAAGAAATCAGGAAGGGGGCCTACACTTTTTCACACCACTGTATGTTTGGAACAGCAATGAGAGTGAGTAAATAATGACCGAAGTTAGTTCGACCTGTTCCTTTAAGTGTTATATGTATGAAGCTTCTTATACAGTGTGATTCGATGATAAGATAAATGTTATGGAGGCAATCATAATTGTAAAGATTGTTGTATCTTGTGCTTTCTTTCCTGTAACACGCATGACGCGCTTTCAGCCCATGCTTCATGTACTGCTCTTTACGTGTGCATGGATGTACTCTTCAGTGCTGATTCATGATCTTGTGCATGGTTTAAATCCGCCCGATGCCATATATGCTCACACGACCTGCTACTATGAAAAAAAAAAAGAATACATTTCTGTATTCTTGCTGTTGTGTAACATCAGCGCTGCCAAATATGTTTGGATCTGCACTCAAACAGTATTTGTTTACATTCTTTTGAAATGTTTTAAAACCTGCCATACACTGTCAGACATTTTCATATGATAGCAGTATCACCTAAACCATAATGTGGGAGAAGCGAAGAAAGCTAAATCCTGTATACGAACATTGACGTTTGAGTAGATTTGAGGAGGAGTTGGCACAAGCACGCCGTGACCATCAGCGCTGCCTCATTTTCAGTGGGATTGTATATGCATCTGTGCTCTTGCAGTTATTGTAAACATTAATGCTGTAGATGTTCTCCCCTTGTGTTCTTATTCCCCTTATTTTTGTGTACATTCCTTTATTTGACAAATGATCTATTGCTCTTTTGTCTTAAAAGTAAGGCTACATGTATAATGTAGAATACACGCCATACTAAACAGATGAATATTTTGTTACTTGTGCAGTGTTCCTCCATCCTGTCTCATAGTGTAGTGGGCACTGACTTCTCTATTTTCTTTCTGCCTATTTGTATAATATTGCCAAATAAGATATTTAATAATTTATGTAAGTATAAGTTGCAATAGTGAAAACACTACTTGTCCCCCAGTGAAGTTGCTGAGTAGTTTACACATTAAAGCTTAATGCACTACACCTGTACACTGTAAAAAGCTGTGGGTAATAAAGCTTTTTCATTTGAATCGTGACGTCTGCTTATTTACTCTCCACTCTCCAACAACTTTCATCTCACATATTTGAGATAAAAGATGTTGTTGTGCCGTGGAAACATAACTTTAAATTTTTCTTATAATTTTCATGCACGGAACCAGAAGTTGACATTGAGACTAAACGTGCAAAAGCTCATTCTTTGAACATTCAAAATGTCCACATTTCGTCTTGGTTATGCATTACCATTAAGGAAACATTCCATTTGATAATTTTTGCAAACATTATAGGGATGTTCAGAGAACATTGAAAAGTAGTTACATTTTTTAAAAAGATGTCCAACTAAAAGGTTTAGAAAAGACATTCCAAGAACAATGTGTGAATAGATGTATAAATTGTGTTAACGTTTTGAGAACATTATTAAAGAAAAGATAACTGAAGAACATTTTGTTCAAAATGTTTGTACATCATTTTGAGAGAACCTTGCCAAAATGTTACCTTGTGGACATGAAGTGCTTAATCACTCACACATGACATACAGACATTCTTGGAATGCAGAAAAAGTCTTGAGATGTACAGTAAGTGCGAAGGTCGAACAAGTCCATCTAGCACATTGACAAGCAGCGCAGTGGAATGCAAAAATGTGTTTAAAAATCTGTCAGACCTATCAGTCTAAGCCGCTCATTATAGTACAGATCAGCTTTTCAAACCCGTGGGCCGCAGCTTGCAAGTAAAGTGCATTTGTAATTCAGTCCGCATGTGAATGGCGTTTGCATAGTAGCAGCAAGAAATGGACCATTTAATTTTAGGGTCAGAGAGGAGGAGGAAAAAGGTCAGTAACAACCCTTTAAGAAAACACTACTAATATTATAAGCTGGCCTCTAAAGGAATGAAAAGAATGTATCATAATATCCCTTTAAATTAAAGTAGTCAAGTATTGTCTTTCACCCTTTACAGCCACTCCTTACTGTAACTAAAGCTGAAAAATGTGCTATCCTCCAGAGCTGGAACAACAGATTTGGTGTTTGTTAAATGGCGATGAGGTTCACAGTAATTTCAGGCTTTGTAATGACATGCTGGCGAAAGAATTCCAAATGGCAGCAAGTCTTACAATAGAGTAGATTCAATGAATCACCCATTAACGCACTGATGAAAGCCCTCTGTGCCGTCATCCACACCCAACCCTCGCACCATTACACAAGGTGGCTCTCAGCAGCCCTCAGCCAACACAAGCAGAGACCCATTGACTTTATTAGGTTGGCCTCACATCCCAACTGGTGTGGTCTGACATCAGACAGGCTTAGTCTTAGACTGGAATCCCCCCTTTGGGTCTGCCATGATTCAGGGAATGATTTCACTTCCTTCCCAACCCTAACACAAGAACTGCGTTGCTGGGTAAATCCATTGTGGATGCTCTGAAATTTATGACATATGGTAAATAATCTCCACCTACCTCATCCTTACTGCTTTCTATTTTGTCTCCTCAATAAAAGAGACTTAATGAATGTTTTGTTGAAAATAAAACTTTGTTTAACCACATAGGGTTGGAACTCATTCAGTTTGCATCACTACAGCACCAGATGTATGTTTTCTTAATGGATTATGACAAATCGCATTTGGCTAGGCACTGACTCGCAATAATTAGCACGCAGTCCAATGCGACGGTCAAGCTGCCGTGATTTATCGCCGAAGTTCTGATGACAGCTGGGTGTAGAAAGTCTTTCAGATTAATTCCCTCTATTCATAAAGGGTATAAACACTCATAAAAGCTATTTCTCATGGCACACTACATTTCATTTCGACATAAATACAATAGCTGCCACAGTTCAATAACGTCACGCCAGTGCAATGGCGTCCTTCATATTAGTTAAAGGTTGGCGGGAATGATAGATAGCAACGTCTTGAAGAGATTCCAACAACCACCCTATTTGTTTCGACCTTTCAGAACATGAACCAGATGACATTTGACCATCACAATAGGGTCATCTCCCAGCACCTTTCATTAAAAGGAGTGGGCGGGAGTCGGTGACTTAGCAAGATGGCTGTAAGATAATGCCCTGTGCCAATTTCTCTGAATCTATTAGCAGTTTGTTTCCATTCGTGACCACAGGCCATTGTTTTACCTCACAGCAAGGAGTATCGAGTGGCCGTAACCAGGACGTCTCAGACAACACGACGACGCACATGGCAGTGGTTTCTGTTGTGTTTGTGGGCTGAAACTGAACTCTCGGGTGGGTGGTACATGGCTCTCCCACAGCCCTGAGCTAGTGAGGTTGGTCCTGTTTACCATGGAATCATCCCACAGTGGGAGAGCGTCAGCTTCAAGAGGTCTTCAAGACCCCACTTTCACTTGAGGAGCAGCTGAGTCATTTCAAAATATCAGTGTTTACTGGGGCTTTGCATGAGAAAGTGACCACTTACTGCTGTGGAGTGGACTCAGTGTTTCCCATGGTTGAACATGTTTTTATTCAAGTGACTGAAAACACATTAATCACATGTGGGTGACACCTAGAGTTGCCGTACACACCAGACATACATCAGCCTGACATATCATAATATCGGTGCTTTGATCATGCTGCTTCCTGTCTCCTGACGAAGTCATTCCTGACTCAGACATGTCATAATATGAAAAACAATTGTCTATACCCTTCCATGACCTCAGCTTTCCTGTAGCCGTCCCCGGCATGTACCTCTATATTGACATGGAAACGTTCCGGATTAGTTTTGGGGGATTTTCTAATGAACGGGGTGTTCTTAATCACCGTGTTTGAATCATGTCTCCAACTATTCGAGTAAATAACCAGTGACACATTATGCGGCAGCCGCAAGTTGTACCATCTTCACAGTGGTAATACCTTGGTCAGTAGGGCAGGAGCTCTTTGCCAACTGGAAAGCTCTAGAGAGGCAGGCTGGGAAAAACTGTCAGTGGGTTAAAATGGGCAACGCTGTGGCAATTCGAATTAGGCCTTAACTAACGGAAAAACAAGCAGGAAGCTGTTTGTGGGGAGTGCAGGAAGAGGCAGGGGGAGGCAGTGCTAATCTGGTGACCTGCTGCATGTTTCGGTCTTGAGCGGAGTCGTGAATGCGGCTGTGCACTCGCTAAGGAGCCAGTTGCAATTTATCTTGGGATAATGAGAGACTGGGCAGCCTCTAACTGAAGGTTTAGCTGTAATGGTCTACCGCTGCCCTATTCCACACTGTTCATCTTAAAATCATCGC